GCCCCCCCCCCCCCGGGCACATTATGGGGACTCTGCTCGGGAGCGTCTGCCGCTGCAGAAGGGCAAGGGTGGGAGAAGAGTCTCCTCTAATTCACACTGCCAAGCCAGCCCAGTGTGCATCTGTACAGGGCTCAGCACCCCGAGTTCAGCAGAGAAACAGCTCAGCCCAGGAGCGAGGGGCTGGCTTGCACCAAGGGGCGAGCCAGCAGAGCAGCGAGCGACGTGACAGCTGGATCACAAGTGGAACGAGAACCAGGCCAAAGACCCGGGAAACCAACTCTTGCCTTGTTGCGCAGACAGGAGGCAGCGTTTCAAAGAAGAGCAACAGGAAAAAGGCCTCCAGTTCCACCCCACGGGGGGGAGCGGCCAGAGACCAGCAGGGCGCTAGCTGGCCCTCTGAGGCCGGTCCCGAAACGCCTCTGTGGCGAGCCAGAGGAGACTGGAACGGCGCTGGGGCAGGCGTGCCGTGCCAAGGGGGCTCTATCTTTAGCTCATGCTGACCTCGTCAGGAAGGCAGAGCTGGCCGAGAGGTGCTGACAGCTCCCCCCTGCTGGCATCCGCAGCCAGCTCAGCCCCAGGACAACGACACGAGTGCCGGCTGACGGGAGGGAGCAGCAGGGAGACGAGGGCTCCGGGAGAAGGGCAGTGTGTAAGGAGACCTGGGCAAGTGCGGCCACTGGGCCACTAGCTGCGCTACCCAAGTCCCCGGCAGAGCCAGAGCCAGGAGCCAAACGGCACGAGCCAATCAGTGGGTCTGGCTTGTACTGGGGTGTCAGACGGTAGCCCTCGAAGCAGGGAACAGACGCCTGAGCCTACTGGCTACCCAAACGGCTCCACGCTGCCCCCAGGAGCCCCTGCGAGGAGACGGGGAACCACGCAAGTGAACCGAATGACACGCACTGTAACGGCCCCAGTCCCTGCCCCACAGAAGGGCACTACGGCTCTGGCCACGGAGGAAGTGGCCTGAGCAACGGATTCTTTCCACTCGTGCCCCTTCCGAGTCAACGACGCACCAGAAAGAGCAGGTTCAGCCTGGAGTCCGACAGAGCCAGGCCCCGGCCCCCGCTCACACACTGCGCCGCGTGCACAGCACTTCCTGCCCAACTCCCCCCCCGCAGAGCGCGGGCCGCCCCACAAACCTCGCTGAGGGGCGAGTCCTGCTCCTCCTCCTTCAGGAAGTCAATGTCTCGGGAGGAGATGATCCCCACCAGCTTACTCCCCATCTTGCCGGTGTCTGTGATCGGGATGCCGCAGAATCCGTGGCGGGCCTTGGCTTCCAACACGTCTCGCACGCTGTCCTTGGGGCTCAGCACCACGGGGTCGGTGATGAACCCCTGCTCGTATTTCTGAAACAAAGCACATTTAGAGCAAACCACATGGTGCCGGCTGTCGGCCGACGGGCAGAGCGCCGGGAAGGCCTGTCGCTGCCCCACACCGGCAGGACGATCCCTGGGGCACAGTAGCAAGGATGCAGCACTGGACAAGTCACACCCCTTTCTGCCCCTCTATGGGGCACTGACAGCAGGCGGGGTTCTCACGCCAGCATCCCGGCCGAGAGCCCCCACACACAGCGAGCAGCGGTTGCGAGTAGGGATGTAACAGGCATCGATGAAGTGATAAGCAAAGCTTATAGGTTAATGCTACAGACCACACGCTTCCCCCAGTACTAGGCTGCTGGCCATCCTGCTATCTCAGCCCTGGCCTGCGCCGGGTCCGGGACCTGCCCCGCTGCGGCTCAGCATTTAAGAGGCGACAGGCAGTTGGTCCACGAAGGGACCTACCCCTCACATACCAGCTCCATCTGGCACCCTGCGCTCTATCAGAGGCAGCAGTGTGCAGCGGCGGGGGGGCTCCGTGGGAGTGGGGCTGGAGTACTTACTAGCTGCCGGCCCCACCCCCGGGGACTATAGAATAGTCAGGAACCGAGATTTAACACCCCCAGCTGCGAGGTCCTGCACGCCGGAACGGACCAGCACCACTGCTCTAGGAGACTACAATGCCTGCCACCCTCCTCTGCTGAAGCCTCGCTCATGGTCTCTCAAGCCGGAGCCAGAGGCCTTTGGACGTGGTCGGTGCAGCTCCCCGATTCCAGCTTCGGCCAGTCTTTACCTTAACTTTCCGTACTTCATTGGCCTGGAATTCCGGTGTGCAGTTATGATGGATGAATCCAATCCCACCTGTGAGCTGTGAACACAGAGGCAGCAACAAGAGAGGCCCTTAAATGTATTTAGTGAATCCAACAAGCAGGTATAGAAAACAGACTGCACCGCTGGTGGGGATTGTGTACGCGGAGGACAGAGTCCGTTCCAGGAATTTCTTACCCAAAGATACAATTTCCCCCTCCCCAGAGCCTTGGCTGCGTACGAGACACCAGCCTGACCCACACGCCCGTTTTAAGCTGATTTAACATCAGGTGTTGCTGCATGTTACAAACGGTCTGTTTGGCCTGAGAATTCAGAAGCCTCCGGCAGGCGAGAGGCTATGCTGGTAGGAGAGCTCGTTGCTAACTCAGAGAGATTAGACGCAAGGCCAGCTGCAGCGGTTCTGAAAACCAGCAAGTGGTAATACCGACGCCCATGCAAGGGGTTAACGCAGACGGCGTCATGGGTCTTGGTGTTGCTGCATGTTACAAACGGTCTGTTTGGCCTGAGAATTCAGAAGCCTCCGGCAGGCGAGAGGCTATGCTGGTAGGAGAGCTCGTTGCTAACTCAGAGAGATTAGACGCAAGGCCAGCTGCAGCGGTTCTGAAAACCAGCAAGTGGTAATACCGACGCCCATGCAAGGGGTTAACGCAGACGGCGTCATGGGTCTTGGGGCCATTGCAATGGCCATGCTGGCCTCCGTCACTGTGTCCATGGGAGAGGAGACCAAGGGCGTCTTCAAGGTTATCTTTTTGGTCAAAGCTGAAGTCAGGTCCTAAAAAGAAGAGGTTGGTTGCGGTAACATGCAAGCTCACCCCAAAGCAGCTCTACCCAGGCCTGCCAACCCCAGGAAACCAGCACGGATTTCTGCTATTTGCCCACACCCCGCTGCTTTCCAGCAAAGCGCTTTTCTTAGTTCCCAGGATCTTCTAGCAACGTGGGCAGGAATTTAGCTCCCAGGCCAGGCAGGAGCTAACGAACAGAAAGATCGCTCTCTCCCCCTGCAACGTATCTAACGGGGCACCATGAAGAGGGAGACAAACTGTTCTCCTTGGCCTCTGAGGGAGGAACAAGAAACAGTGGGCTCAGGTTGGACATTAGGGAAAACTTCCTGCCTGTCAGGTGGTCAAATATTGGGATAAATT